CCTTTAGTAGTGCCATGTGGAAGCTTATATTGTAATTCATTTTACTAGTGCTAGTTTAGATCTCATTCTTAATACTAATAATAATATAATAAATCCTCAGATTATTGACTTTTATATTGTTCACTAGTACTACTAACTTTTTATTCTCAATATGTATTCACAATTTAATGTGAATTCTACTAGTTCTGGTGTGACTGAAGAATTTTTTTCACACAGAATAATATATTAAATTAATTAATGGCTGCTGAAAGTTCTTCAATTAGGAAAACAGGACTGCCATAGTCCAATGTGTGGTGGGGTTCATTTTGTAGTCTGGACCCCCACCTCCCTTATCTTCTACTAACTTGCATTCCCCCTCACCTCAAACCTGACATTGAAAGAGACAAATTTGAGTGCCTCCCTCCCTCCTGGTTTCACCTTGGGAATAACTTTGCCAGTTGCAGAAAATATTCAGGTTTCTTTACCTTTCAGGACCTTATTTTTCAAGTATGTACTGTTCTTTCTTTTATCTCATTGTCTTATGATTCTTCACATTCACTTCTACACAACTGTAATCCTGAAATTTTTTATATTTCTTCCAACTCCAGATATAGCAGTACATCCTTTCTTGACCATCTAACCAACTGCTATGTCCTGGCTTATAGCCACTCCTTTTCTCTACTCACAACCTTTGGAATAACTTTACCACTTTTTTTTGGGGGGGGGGATTCCTTATCCACTCTTTCCCTCTCTAGTGCCCTAATTTCTTATCTACGAATCCTTTCCTTCTCACCCGCTTCCTTTGTTGTTGGGACCTTTCTCAAGTTCATCTACTTTCCACTTTTTCCTCTATTCTCCATTCAGAGGTTTTTTTCGTGTTGATTCCTTGGAATTAGGAGCTCTCTAACCTCTTTAGTTTCCAAATTGACCCAATCTTATCCTACCACCTTTGTGTTTTGCCCTGTACCGTCTCCCACCCATCTTTCAATTCCTGCTTCCAGGTCATCCTCCTCTATCCATCCCACTTCCACGTAACATCAGACTCACAGGCCTAATCACCGGTGACCTGCTGGTTGATTTGGGACCTGTGGGGGCCTGTCTGTTGCACTTTGCAGATCTTTGGACACATTTCTTGTCTGACAGATAAGTTCAAGTTCTCACACATAGGTTGTTCCTACACTTCTCTTTCCCTTCAGTTCCAGCCTGTTTCATTTCCCCTCCCTTCAATCCTGCATACCTTCATATCAAGGGGGCAGTGTCAGATTTATTGGAGAAACATTCCATTGAGAGGGTATACAACCCTTCTCTGTTGATAAAAACTGGTACAGTGGGTCTTGTACTAATTCCCTCAAGATTAGTAAAAGTAGTTGAGAACATTGATAATTTAGCCACTGTTTGAAAGAAAAGGAAATAAATATAAATTATGTCTTTTTCATTCCAGAATGAACACAAATTATAACA